ACTCACGCCACTTAGTTCTCAGTAGTAGCACTCACATGTCAATGATGAACTCAGGGAGCAGCCCAGGAGTTAGTGTCCCTCCTCTAGGTACCTAACTTGCCTGTGAGTCTGATAAGAGGAGGTATGCTTTTCTTCTGTCCAGTTATTAGGCCAATAATCTCTCTATCTCTCTCTCTCTCTCTCTCACACACACACACACACACACACACACACAAACCTATTAATAAATAAAAAATGTCTTTGCTAATGACTTAAGAAATCCTTTCTTTTCTCCCAAGGACTTGCACACTTCAAACAACTTAACCAGCTCTTCCTGGGCACATTCTACCTGGAACAGTGCAGTGGTGAAGAGCCTCTGCTCCAATCAGGTGGATATGAGCGCCATCCTTTTCTAATTGCATGACATTGGGCAAATTACTTAACTTCCCTGGGACTAGTTTTCTCATCATTAAATGGAAACACTAATAGCCCTACCTGAAAGGATGTTGGAGTGTTTAAGCAAGATTTTATATATTTAAAAGTGCTTAGCACAGAACTAACACCTAGTAAATGCTCAATCAATTACTGTTGCTCAATGAACTAATAAGTATACATGTGCCTAGCACAGTTTGGGTGATTGACAAACCGTTAGGGTAATATTTGTAAACTATGAGGTTCTACCCAAACATAAGGTCTGAATATTATTAGCTATTGCCTTAGATATGGAATGCTCAGTCCGGTTATGGTCCAGTAAGAGACGAGTCAGAGGAAAATGAGGGCACATGGCAGATGGCTTTCCCGAGCATATGACCTGCTCAGTCTTGAAAATCAGCCCAGGCCCTGGTCAGCTAAAATTGTTAGGTGTTTTTCTGTTGAACTGCTATGTGGTATTTTCCACTCATTCTCTCCTTGGTAGAAGTTCTGTTCTTTCTTCCTTAAAACAGACAACACTCCAAGGAAAGCACTGGAAGAAGAAAGTTTCTACTATGGACTTTGGCCTTTCTTTCCCTGGAGTTTCTCCTGGTTTTGCTGCCTGCATTTCACTCTGATCAATAGGAATGGAATAGAACTTGAATCTAGATGTGGCCAAAGTGCCTTTTCTTTAGTTTCCCTTTGGAGATCTACAAGAAGTTGAACTAATCAAGGAGAACCAGACTGTAATCCAATGATTCTGGAACCCATGACAACAAAGTGGCGTATTTAAGAATGTCAGAAGTCCCTCTGCTTCTCCTTCCAGATTATTTTCATTTGTTTTGGGAACTTCTTGTTGGATACCATATATATTAGATAACGAGCAGAGCTCCAAGTGGGCCAGGATTGATAAAGAGGCATTGCTAGGATGAGGTAAGTAATCAGGTGGTGTCAAATTATGGGTTATATCCATATATCCATATCCTTTTGGATATAACTTAATAAACTCTTGAAATTATTTTCAAGGATGCAAATAATCGATGGCACATCAATCTTCTACTTCAGTGATTCCCAAAGCAAGGTTTGTGAATCAGCAGAGATTCTTAAGATTCTGGGGTGCCCTAAGGCAAAAACAACTGTCATAATAATACTGAGATATTATGGGGCCTTTTCCACTGGGTTGACATCTGCACTAATGCTTTAAAAGTAGTAGTGGGTAACATTGCATGCATCAAGGTAGTGCTTTCTGACTGTACTGCTTATCTGCCATTTTGTCCTTCAATATCACACACTGGAAGTAAAAAAAAAAAAAAAAGGAAAGAAAATGTCAGTTTTACTGAAAGCTGTCCTTCATGAGGGTGTAGAAAGTATTAGTTTTATTAAATCTAAAACTTTGAGTACATGGAACACCATTTTTACTTGAAAGAATGGCTGACAAACTATGGTTATTCGGACTTGGCAGACAAAATTAAAAACTGAGCAAAATTAACCTATTGCTTTAAGGAAAACTCATAGTATATGTTGCCACTAGTAAAATTTGAACTTTCAAATGAAAATTAGAAATCTTTTAAACCTGAACCTAGCCCCTATGGGCATGACAGCTTCCTAACACTTAAAGACTTTTCTAATGAGATAGGTAGTGATATTAACAAATGTGATTTTTTCATGTTGTATTATATTAAATCTGTGAACATTTGGAAAATTTTCATAATTAAGTGAACCAATACTTTCCAAATGACCAAAGCATGGTGATAAAATTGGTTTCAGATACAACATTGTGCCTAATCTTTAAGAACCTACCTTGCAATGAGTTTTGGATAGTTTCAAAGAAGAATATTCAAATTAGCTAAAAAGACTATTAAAAGACACCTTCCTTTCCCAACTACACATCTGTGTGAGGCTGGATTTTCTTTAACTACAACAACATATCACAACAGATTGATAGGAAGGAAGATGTGAGAATCTGGCTGTCTTCTATTAAGCTAGACATTGAAGACATTTGCAAAAATATAGAGCAATGCCAAAATTGTCACTAAATATAGCTATTTTCATTAAAAATGCTATTTATGCTAACATCTAATGTTTTATGATATATTTTTAATATATCACAGCTCCAGTTTCTTCCACGGTAAATTTTGACGAATATAATTCACATAAACAAAAGCTCTTTGGGATCTACAATAATTTTTAAGAAGGTACTGGGGTTTTGAGACCAAAACATTTGAGAACTATTACTTCACTTTTCTATCAAAACCTGAAAAATTAACAGCTATGAAATTCATTCAGCCCTTCTTTTAACATTTACTGAGTTCTTACTATCTGCTAAGCATTTCACTGGCCTAAGAAGGTAGAAACATACAAACGATTAGGAAGCAATAGGATCAAGACGTGTGTGCAGGTGCAGAATGCCCAGAAAGAGGGCATCACAAGATAAAGGGACATGCAAACAGGGTCCTTTGGATGAGTGGGAATCCAACAAGCAGATGAGAAAAGGCACGCTCAAATGGAATCTGTAAAAACAGAGATGGGCAAGGGGACGACTGTATTTTCAATTTTGGGTAACTGCAAGCATTAATAGTTATGGAAAATTGAAGCAAAACGTATGTGTAGAGGAAACAGGGAAGACAGTACATAGCAGAAGCCTTTGGTGTCCCACGGCACATCCTCATTGGTGCACTTCCATTTTCTGCCGTAGCCGTAGTGGGCAGGCTCAGACTCATCCGTGGCTGGCAGCCTCCCACCTCAAGTGTGTGCCATCTCTTCCTCTTCTTCTTCCTGCCTCAGGGTGGTCGCTGGCCCCTTTGGAGCCTGCTCAGCCTGCCCGCAAGTTAGTGGCCGTGGGGTGCCGGCGTAGGAATGTGCCAATCTCTTGTTTGTCAGGCAGACAATTCTAGGAGGCATTTTATATGCCCCTCAGAGGTGTTGGTGGAAATAAAGCCCTATTGCCTACATTGGCAACCTTGGTGATGCACTATTCTATTGGCTTTTCCTCCGAACTTGCCCCTCCCTCGCTCTTGGTTTCTGGGATCACCACCCAAATAAACTGCCTGCATCCAAGTCATCGTCTCAGGCTCAGAGACAGCCTAATGCTGTAGGTCGCCCACTGTAGGCACTGTGCAAATAACTTAGGGTGTAACAGTGAACAAAGCCAGCTCATTGCCAGCAACTGAACCTCCAGCCTGTTGGTGATGTGGAGCTATTGAGTGATTTTAGACAGGATAGTAACATAATCAGATTTTTTTCATCTTGCAAAGTATCATCCATTTTAACAAGCATATATACAGTAATCTTTATACACAGAAAAATAACAGTCACGTATTCTCTACCCATGGAACTAAATAGGATGTTAGCAGTGTCTGGGAAGACCGTTATGTGCCACCCTCCAGCGTGGTCTGATTTTAGTTTTTAAAAGATCACTGTGGCAACAGTGTAACGAATGGTTGCAAGAGGAGCACTGGGGACAATATAATGGCCCCTCCTATTTCGAGTCTCAGCCTGAGCGTCACTCTGGTATAAAGTCTTTCCTGACCCCCAGGTTGAATTCACTCCTAGCTGTCTCTGATGAACTCTCCTTTTATCATGACAATTAAAATCCTTTATAGCATGTGCCTGGCCCTCTTAAAAAAAGAACAAAACAGCTTTATTGAGATATAATTCACATACCACACGATTCACTCACTTAAAGTGTACTATTCAGTGGTTTTCAGTATATTCAAGGATATGTGCAACCTTCACTACGATCAATTTTAGGACATTTTAAAGAGTGTACAGGGGTCCTGAGACCAACACATTTTATCTCCTCAAAAAGATACCCTGTATTCTTTAGCTATCACCCCTTTCGAACCCCCTCCCCCATCCATACTCTCAGCCCAAGCAAACACCAACACACTTTCTGTCTCTGTTGTTTTCCCAGTTATGGACTTTCACATTAATGGAATCATATAATATGTGAATTTGAGTGACTGCCTTCTTTCACTTAGTATAATGTTTTCAAGGTGTATCCAAGTTGCAGCATGTGCCAATACTTTAATGACTCAATAATATTCCATTGTACAGATATGACACTTTATCCATCCATCCGTTGATGGACATTTACGTTGTTTCCACCTTTTGGCTATCGATCTGCCATAAACATTCACGTGTAAGTTTTTGTGTGGACATATGTCCAATCACCTAGGCTTAAAAAGTAAATTTCCTTTGACTCTTCCCCCATCTCCCTTTTCTCTTCTTTCTACAAATCCAAGTGGTCACTACGCTCTATCAGTCCTACCTCTGCAGTATGTGGTTGCTCCTCGTTTCATTCCTGAGTCCTGTAAGGAGGTCTTCTGACTGGTCATCTCACTTCTAGGCTCTCTCCTTTGTTCTCCATTTTATTTGCCAGATGGATATATGTGATTTCTCTGTTAAGTCTCCTAAAACCCTACTCTAATAAATTCACTTTCCTATTTATAAATTTTCATTGACTCCGTTGACTACCAAATAAAAGTCTATCTTTTAAACAGCTTTTGCAAGCCAATATCCCATTGGTACCCAGCACTTACTCATGTTTCAAATAACCTGGTTACTTACTGGTTCACCATATTTGCTGTTTCATGATAGAATGCACTTACCTCTCATTTTTCTTCATTGAAACTATATCCAGTCTTCAAAGCCTACATTACATGGCGATGCTTTAAAATGTCCTCACTCCTTTCCTGACTGCACAACTTGCGGGGATTTCTTTTGCCTCTGAAATCCGAGAATTCTTATTTGTATTTCTACTACTTTGCCTTCTACTGGTGAAGGCTATTCTTTCACTAAGAAATACTTTTCTCTTACTGGTAGTTCTTTGAGAATGAGAATTATGACTTCATCATCCTGAGCTTGATGGCCTTAGTCAAATAGCTGTTTGATAGATATTTAAGGAACTAATCACTGACTAAATAAGTGAACCATTACACAAATGATTTTTAGCTATTAATACTCTTTACGAAACGATTGTGAGAGAGGGGAATGCAGTGTGGTGAGGGCTCCTTGCTTTCCTTGCATGGCCCTGGCCATGACTTAACTGACCATTTGAAAAGTCCATTGCACCTAAAAGGAACAGGACAGAAATGTGGCATGATTCAGGACAAACTCATTACTATACCCAGGGCAGGGAAACAGTTCTAAGCATTTTTTTTTTCTTTTTTTTTTTTACTGAAAACTTGTCAGGAGTATAATCCTCTCATTTTAGAGGAAGTTCATCAAAGCTTGACAGGGTTCTTTATTGAACTATGTTAACCTATGTCCTAAGCACCTTGCTAACAATAAAATCAACAACATCAAAAAGCAATCTGCTCACGTAAAACCAAGGGGGGTCAAGAACCTTGAGTTCTTTCCTAATGGGCTAGAGGTGAGTCAGCCCCTTAAACAGAGGGCCCTCTGTGGAAGGTGAGCCCTCTAATGAAGCTCAGGGCCTCCCGGGCCATTTCAGACCATTGCATTTGTCTCCCCACAGAAACCCAAGAATGTCTTAAATTGCAACCCTTTTCATTCTTTGTAGCACTTAGTGCTAACCAAACAGACTGTACTGATGTGGGATCAACACTAATACAAAGTAGCAAAATACAGGGGGAGAAACTTCTGCTGATAAATATTAATGTAGATACACTCTAAAGTCTAGGTAGGGGGAAATGTCTCTAAAGAAGAAAGTCATGGCTCTTCAAATTTGGGACATTTAACCATTCTAGTCCCTGATGATGATGGTGAAATAATTTTGACTTCCAGATAAGGTTTGGGTTTTTCCATTTCATTCTACTGTTCAATTAAAAAATATATTAGTATTTCATTTCATATAATATTCCTAGATAAATGAGAACTTACAACAATTTCTCATTATTTCTATGGTTAGTCTTTACTATAAGAAGAATGGTTCCAGAATTTTTTGCTTACTAGTTTGATAAGTATTTAATCTCAATGTGAACACTTTAGCCTTCAAGTGCATTTCTCTTAAAATACATTAGTCACTTTTTCTATTTATTTCCTTTGATAACTTTCAAATTACAATATAAATATTAATATCTGGTTTTCTTTGAGGGCATCATTATTATCAATATTAAAGAAAGGATTGCAACAAATTCTTCTTGAGTACATTTTCTGAACCCATCTTTGTCTATCCATTGGACTGGCCACTAGATGGCACCAGCAGCTAAGCTGGTGAATGAAAATCTTTTTGTGAAACTGCACTGCCAACACCTGGCAAGAGTTGTCATTATTATGACTTGGAAGCATTTATTTTCAAGAAAAGCCAAAAGTTAGAAAGATGATTTTGCTATCTGAATTTGTTTCAATTATAGGGATAAACTTTTAAACAAAATATTGCCTAACCTTAATATTCATGATATATAGGCAGTCTCTATTGCTTTCAAGCAATTAAAAAAATGATTAAATCTCCAGCTATAAAAAGCTCTATATTCATCAAAAAATTAGTAGATGCAACTGTCAAAATAATTCAAGCACAAAAACACACTCACGTACTGTATTGGTCAGGCAACTCAGTCTTCCCCTTCCTCCTGAATTGGTTCCTTAATCCTGGAGAATATTTGAATTTTACCTCCTTTCCAGTTCCCTGGTTGATGGTGGGAGAGGTACTGAAATGTGGCAGGCCGTGTTGACAGGCACATTTAGATGACGGCACAATGTGCATACACTGTGACCCTCCTATTTCCATGCCACCTTTGCCTATGTGGACAAAAGGGATCTGATTCATTTATGGAACTAATGCAAGAGCTTTGGGCTAGAATTAATTACTTCTAGAAATCTATATAAGGCCAAAGTTTTACATACTCATAAATGACTTTCCATTTCCCCAAGAGTTCCTGTAATTGGCACCTAAGATATTGTCTTATCTTAGGGAAACTGTGTCCACAGGTGAGGTCAATCACCTGCCCCATTCATACCCAGAGACTACATCTCATCATTACTTCCCATTGGGCTCCATCCTGAGTACTGTAATTCAGTTAGTCAGATATCCTCTTACTGTCATGCTCAACCTTTCCTCTCTGCCTCTGCTGGAACTCTTCTCCCTACCTCAATGCCTTTCCCTTCTCTAGACCAATGCAAACAAAACCTCTGGTCTAAGATCTTCTTCCATAAGACCTGTCCCATCTCCCTTGATCTGATAACACCCTTTAGCCTGATTTCCATAGGACTTGGGATTTGTGTTAGAATACACAATCAAGCACATTGGCCAAATTTTCACCATGCACATTATGAACACTTACTATCTCTCGGATTTGTGCTGAGTGGTGAGGACAGAACAGCTAACAAGGGAAGTATAGCTCCTTCCTCTCAGGGCTGAGGGTCTCATGGGAAAATAGACTCTGAAAGAGCAATTTACACAAAGGGTATGATGAGGAAGTCAAGGCTGTTATGGCTAATCCAGCCTGGGAGATTATAAAGTGCCTCTCTGGGGAAGGTATACTGAGCAGAGATTTGAAGGAAGAGTAGAAGATAGTCAGATGACTGGGCATAGCCAAGAGAAGGGAATTCCAGGAAGAGGAAAGAAAGTGAAATGGCTGAGGGGAATACAGACCACAGAGTATTAAGTAATTTAAAAAAATCAATATGAGTATAATGACCCCTTGGGGGGTTGATTGGGAACAAAAAGAATGGGGCAAGTTTGAAGTTTACCCCAAGGAGAGTAGGATGACTTGAAACTGGCATGGTTGCTGTTTTGAAGGAAATCTTTATCTTAAATTACAAATAATGGATTGCAGGCAAAGCGGCAATAAGAAGACCAATGGTAGGATAGTGCAGTGGTCCGTGCAGACTGTGATGGTGGTCTCTGCTAACATTTGGGCAGTGGAGATGCCAAGGACTGGAGGATCCATGGGTACACTGAGGAGGGAGAAGAAATAAGATGTGGCAACTGTTTGAATGCTAATGGTGAGGGGAAAAAAGGGACTAAAAAATGAATTTGTCTAAAAAATTTTGTCTAGTCTAGGACTGGATGAATTGTGTTTTCATTTACTTAAATAGGGACATGGCTAGAGAAGTAGGTTTGAGGATGAATGAGAATTAGTTTAGTTTTACTCTTGGTAATTTAGAAGTGCCTAGGAAACATCCAGGTGGAGATAACCTAGTAAAACTACTTGGATCTACTGAGATGAAATCCAGAGAAGAAGACTGAGATGAAGGTACATATTTGGGAATTATCAGCATATAAAATATGAACACTGGGGATTTTAGGATAGCTCACCCCCCTGAAATTTCAGGCAAAATTGTTGTGTCCCTGTGTGTGTTTATGGTATGAAAAGATAAGTAGAGGAGACTCGTCTGATAGAGGCGATTGAGAAGGGACCACCAGAGAGGTAGAAAGGAAACCCCCAAAGGAATCAAGAAAAAGGTAAAGGAGGGCTCAGTAATGTCAAGATTAGAGATCAGATAGGCACTAAAATTTTTCAATGGGGTTTTGAGAAATGAAGTTCATTTTTGCTTTGGTCAAAGATGTTTCAGTGGAGCCATTCTAGTGGGTTATAAGATACAGGGAGCATACAGTGAAGGAGAGAGAGGGCAGGAGGTGGAAGGAGAGATGGAGCAACATATGGTTTTTTTAAAAAAGAGAAATACTTGATCAAATGTAAATGCTGTTGAGCAGAAGCCAGAAGAGAGGAGGAGGCTGAAGATAGAGGAAAGAGAAGAGATTATTGATCAAGGGAGATCCCTGAGGAGCTGCCACCAAGAATACAGGAGGAAGATTGCTTTTACCAAAGAGCAAGGATCCCTCTTTAACTAAAAAAGAAAGAAAAAAGAAAGGATAGGAATAGGTGAGTTGTTTTGGCAGCACAAGTTTCCACAGCTGGCAATGAGGAAGGAGCCAGGACTTGAACCCAGAAGGTCTGGCTCTAGGTTCTGCACTTGTCACCACTATCCCATGCACTATTATGTCAGAGAGTTGCCTGTCAGCTCAGCAAATTGCCTAGGCCTGGCAATGAAAACCACCACTGTTTCTATAAAGTAGGTGATTCTTCTACTCATCATCCCCTGCGTTTTACACTGAAATTTCATCCCAATTTTCATACTGGCTTTTGTTTCATTTCACTGAGGACAGCTGGCTGTAATTTATCCATTCATTCATTCATTCAAAAGGTATTTATCGAGAGCCTGCTACGTTTTTACATAAGGGATCAGATGGTCATCCTGAACAGATAAAGCCCTGCACTCTTGTCATTCTACAATGTAGGGAGAGAAGCAGACATCACTGTAATACTTTCTCCCATAAATATAAAGGTACAATGTGATAGTTGCTATGAAAGAATAGCATATGTCCTCTTGAACCTTCTAGCAGGAAGACTGGATTTCTGAACCTTCTAGCAGGAAGTCCGAGGTTGAGACAAGCCTTCTCTGAAAAAGTGACTTTTGAGCTGACTAGTCACTGATGGGCTGATTGGTATTAACTGATGAAAGGGAGGTGGCAAGAAGGCATCTGTGACAGAGAAAAGAGTATTGAGAAGAGGTTATAGCCATGGGAGTGAGAGAAAGTCACCGTGCTGCATGAGGATGGGGTGTGGTCCAAGGGGAGCCTGCGCACCGAGGAGGCAGCCAGGACACCCAGGGCTTTGGGAGCTGGCTTAAAGAACGGAGGAGCAGGATGTAGGGAGAAGGTAGGGCCTGTAGGCACAGAATCAAGTGGGCATTTTAAAAGCCCACCCTGCCTAAAGGGTGTGATGCAAGTGGGGGAGAGACCAGCTAGGAGGCTCCAGCAGCAGTCCAGGTTCCATGATGTCAGCATGAGCGAAGGAGCTGTAGAGGGAGAGAACAGACTTGACGGGCGTTTTAGAGTTCACAGAGATATAAAACAACATAAAGGGAAGACATTTTGAACAATGTGGAGAGTTTTGAGGTCATGTTCAGCTCATAACATGTTAGTTCCCAGCTCAAAGCCAGGGAGCTTTCTATAAACCATTCCACTCTGATGACAGAAGGCATTCGTGGTGGGCCTTTTGTCTCACAGAGTTCACAGACACATTATAGGATGTTCCTGCATTGGAACAGAGCCAACCCCCCAGCATTTCCTATGTGGTATAGATTTGTATGATATAAAACAGAACAGAATGACTACAGCAATAAATTTCCATTTGATGGATTCTGTATAGTTGAGGAAGAAAAAAACCTAGTAAAGATCAAGTTTTAAGAATATCGTCAATCGACCCAGAAGTTTGTGCAAATTGTAGACTAATTTACCTACCAGGAGTTCATCATTCTTGTATAACCGGAGTGGGAAAAAGACCAATGTGGGGTGCAAAAGGGAATGACTTAAGACCAAAGAAGCCTGAATATAATGATCCTAGACTCGGCGCTATTCCATAGAACTTTCTGGAAAGATGAAAATGTTCCATAAAGTGCTGTCCAATGCAATCACCACTAGCCACATGTGATGATGGAGTAATTTAAAAGTGGCCTGTGAGACCGAGAAGCTAAATTTTAAGTTTTTATTTGAATTCATTTAGATTTAAATTTAAATAGCCATATATAACTAGCAACAGTGTACTGGAGAATAAACATTTGGACCAACACTGATATAGAAAAGTACACAAAGCTTTCTTGGCTAAAAGTTTCATCAATAATCCAATTGATACCAGAACTTCACTCTATATTATTTGCTATTTGACACATATAATTGTGTTTAAGTTAACTAATGATAATTTTACATGACTTCAAACTTCCATAACCCATCACCATACCTAATACCTAATAATAATTGTTTGGTAAATGAAAACAGAATGAATTCTGATAAATGAAATATTGCTATAAAGCACTGTCATTATGATTGTCACATACTGAAAGTTCAATAAATATTAGCTAATATTATTGCCGGTATTTACAACATCCAAGAAAACTTATAGTCCCTTTTGTGAAGTTGTGAGTTAAAAGCATGCTTTAAAAAGAGGAATCTGAACTAGCCAGAGCATCTTAATGGGTTCTCTGCTGTAGCTTTGCTTCTTTTTCCTTGAAAATCTCCAGGAAAACCCTCTTTTCCAGAGAACACAGTCTGATCCTCACTGAAGTGAGAATAGCTTCGCTGAGAGGATGTCTCAATGTATGATCTCTCTCTTTGTATGCTCTAATTTGAATTGAATGTTGCTCCAAGTGTATAAGCAGCACCCCTAGCCAGTTAAAACTAACTGTCTGCCTCTATATTTAATCTGTTTAGGATCACACCAGCCCCATAAATATGGTATTTGGCATATGGGGAGAATTCTGAACAGTGGTCAGGAGGTACTGCCTAATATAGCTTTTCTTTCCTGCTCTTCTAATCTTGTTGATTTTTTTTTTTAAGTCATAAAATAAATTCCTAAACTCTTCCCATTGACTTCCTGTTATGGCAATGGAAAGGATGCTGGGAGAGATGCTGAGGGGGCAGATGTTGCCTTCTCTGGTGGGCTGTACACATCAGACCAGTCTCACCCTGAATACCTTAAATGAGGTCAGTTGGCAAAGGACTGAGAAGAGACCATCGTTTCCTGAGCATCTGCCTCTGAGCTAGGACCTGTACTAGGAGCCAGAAGTTTGCTGCAGCTAGAGAAACCACAGAGTTGCTGTTCTGAGTTTGGGGAAGGAACAGGGAAATAGAAAGAGAAGAGAATTCACTCGAGAAAGATGAGGGAGAGAAGCCTAATTGCCCTCTTCCCTTAGTCTAATTCAGAGCTTCCCAAGAGTGGCTGTGTTGATGTTTTGGACCAGATAATGCTTTGTTGCTGGGGGTGGGGGCCCCTGCCCTGTGCATTGTGAGATGTTTAGCAGCATCTCTGGCCTCTATTTGTTAAATTCCAGTAGTAGCACCCCTGTCCCAAATCATGACAATCAAAAATGTTTCCAAACCTGCCCAACTGTGTCTTTGATGGGGGGTGAGTGGGAGAGGTGGGAGAGTGGGGGGTGGAGGGGTGAGGGGGGTGTAAAACGGCCCCCAGCTGAGAACCACTGGCTTATGGAAGTGCCACTGTGCATGCACATGACCTGTGGGCCACTTGCTGAGTGACACAGATAAAGTAGGACAGTGGTCAAGAGGACACAGTTCTCTTTAGTCCTTAATTTGAATAAAATAAAAATAAAGTCTCAGAGGCACAGTGAGCACTAAGCAGCAAAGGACATCTCGGAAACAGTTTACATCCTCAGGGATTTCTTCCTATTTAAGACAGCGTAGAGGGAGAGCAGCCTGCTCTTAGACCAGGGTGCATCTGGTGCTTGAAAGGCAAAACTCCGCCAATAGCTGAGCCCCAAGTGTGTTTGTTTAGTCCACCTAGTATAGTCCCACAGTCTCCATCAAGCTGTTTTCTGGCTAATTCTGTACAGTTTTCATAGACGTAATTCCTCCAATCCATCCTTCTGGGAGCACTGGCAGCCTGCTATATTATCCTCTCCAGATGGGGTCATGCAACAAACTTCCCTTTATTGCTCAGCACCAATTGAGCTGATGGGTTCACCTCCACCTCAGATGTTTATCCTACCAAGAAAAACAAATCCCTAGGTAACTTTTTATTATATAGTGTCAATTACTATATAGTATTATCTCTCGTAACTGCAATGGGTAACCATCCCAAAGCTGGAGATCTTTAGCTCAAGATAAAACAGAGAAGGCCATATTCTTTCATTGAAATATCTAATGACAAGATTTAGAAAATATTGAGAAAGAATCTGCTATATTTATTTTTAAATGTAGATATATATGTATGTGCATAAAATATTTAATCTTATGTGCAGAACATTTTAACTTAAAAGTTTAGCAATAGATTAACAAAATGATTATTCCTTTATTTTCCTTCTCTCCTTTACTGATTCAAACAATCCTCCTTACAAAATGCTCAGCAAAGAAGGAGCAGTTATACAGAACTCGTGATGGAAGCAGGAGGGAAACTAAGGACATTAGACATCTCTGCCTGATGGCCAACTGTTACCAGTCAGAGCTGGGGAAGCTGGTGGCCATGTTTTTTATCCTAGTAATTGTTTCTCTTTGAAAAGAATTGTTCTTTTTGCATACATTGAAATCAAAGTTTCAATCTCAGGTCAACAGAAGTCTGAAAATAACAGCAAGCAAGAAAGAATCTCTTTATTACTCCCACAGAAGAAATGTTATAGCAGTTCCTTTCCTAGAAGTCTTCAAACACAAGCAGTAACCAGCTCTCTAGAATTATATGGATGGATCCTGCCTGAGGGAAGGGAAATGGGTCAGGCAATTTGGGTTCTCCCTCGGTCAATTTAGGAAATACTCTGTTTTCCCAGTGGTGTGGGTTATTGAAAGAAAATGAAGAGCATGGGGAAGAATACTCAAGAGACGGTAAGCTCTGATCGTGTTTTTGCTCCTAAGAGAAACATGAAAGAAATTTTTTAAAATAAATAAAAAGGCTATTCTGAAAGTCTACATAAAATTCCTATTTATAGACACTTACAGATGGTAGGCATGGGGTTGGGGGAAAATAGAGGTGCTTAGTAATGGTCTGGTCCCATCAAAAAAAGTGTGGTTTGAAATATTGTAATTTAACTTTAATGCCCTTTCGGCAAATCTTTTCCACTGCCTTCTCTAAACTTAGAACTCCCATAAAGTGGACATTTTTCTGTGCTTGTTACATTAGAGTTTAACCTCAGATTTCCAGGTCTCGCTGGCCCAGGAAGCACAATGAAGCCATTGCCAAAGCAAAGATACAGTAACCCCTAGAACCCTCATTCTTTTAAATCCTTCCCATCAGATTGAGGGGACATTGGGACACGAGTCTCCTCTGTCTTCCTGAATAGACACAATTCTCTCTGCCTATGCCTTATGGAATGTATTATTCTCTCCTTCATTCCGCCGAGTACATTGCTCCCTGGTCACTGTGTTGGCTGCCTTAAGCTCTAAGTTTTTATTTCTTTGATCTAAACTTTATTAGAGATTCTGATTCTGGATTAAGGGCATGACCTCAGTAGCCAAATTTAACGAATAAAAATACTGGACTCCATCCAGTTAAATTTGAATTTCAGATAAACATTGAATTACTTTTAGCATACATATGTCCCAAATATTGCATGGGGCATACTTCGCTAAGAAGAGATTTCTTGTTTATTTTAAACTTAATTTTTAACTGGGTATCCTGTATTTTATCTGGCAAATCTAGCCCCAATACCTCAGCTGCACTCAAAATGGTCTTCACTTTGGTCTTTAATGAATATTCTCAACCTGCCTTTCTGAGAGACCATGTGCCCGGCAGGTGCAGTGTTAGTGGGTTAAGGCATAGCCTTTACATTCAGATTGCTCACAGCATCTTTGTCCCTGGTAAACAAACTTCAGCCTAAGTACACCAGCCATCCTGCATGGAAGCAGAGTCCAAATCACCCCCTTCTGCTGCCTTTTCAGATACCTCCATCTATGATTTAATTCAATGAAACTAATGAAGTATATCTGGAATTATTGCTATATAAATAAATATAAATTCTAAATAGACTAGTGCTATTTTATCTAAAGGCAATAACATCAGAGGATTTAATTCATAGATGTCCAAATCTTGGTTAGGCATTCTTACCTAATTCATATCTTAATATATTGTTTTAAAATTCTTGGTTAGGCATTGTTATCTAATTCATATCTTAATATATTGTTTTAAAATTCTCCCTTTGATCGTAATAGTGGTTTAACAGCATAATGAATATAAAATTGCCCAAAATTGTACCTAGTGAATGGCTCTATGATATGAAAGTAGCATAGTGGTAATGCATCATTTTATGAAAATTTTCTACTGACCAAATTAGCAATTTAAAGAAGGGGAATTACTTATTCCATAAATATTTACATGTTTGATTAATTTACATGCCCATTCTTCTATTGCATATGATATAGTATAAAATGTCTTATAGAGGGGAGTTTGGGATCAAGATAGCAGATTGAGTTCATATATCTGTTTTTCCTCTCTCTAAACATCTTTAGTAATAAAGTTAAGGGATTTTTAAAATAGACATAAACCCACAAGGATGAGGAAAACAGGAAAGAGAGTAATAATAAAATATTGGGAGCTGGAAAACAGAAAGGCAAGTGGTAGGCGACTCAACCAGAAAACTGATAGTAGAGAAAACTAAAAACCATCCTAATTTATATCAGAGAATTCTCAAAAGTCTCTGTGATGGTTAATTTTATGCATCTACTAGACTGAGTTAAGGGATGCCCAGATAACTGGTAAAACATTATTTCTGGGTGTGTCTGACAGATGTTTCTGGAAGAGATTAGCATTTCAATCAGCGAACTCAGTAAAAGTAAAAACATCCACCTTCATCAATGTGGGTGGGCATCACAGTCCATTGAGGGTCCAGATAGAACAAAAAAGTGGAGGAAAGGCAAATTTGCACTCTCTTCCGAAGCTGGGATATTCATCTTCTTCTGCCCTTGGGTATCTGAGCTTCAGATTCCTGGGCTTGCAACTGTGGACTTATACCAGCAGACCCCTACCACTGGCTCTCAGGCCTTTGGACTTACCCCCTTCCTGGATCTCCAGCTTGCAGATGGCAGATCATGGGAGTTCTCAGCTTCCATAATAGCATGACTCAATTCCCATAATAAAATCTCCCTTAATATATCTGTACGGATTCTATTGGTTCTGTTTTTCTGTAGATCTCTAGCTAATACAGTCTCTGAATTTGTCTGTTCCAGGTATCTAGAGATGATAAAAAGAGAGACTTAAATAAGATCGGGTAAAAGAACAGTTAAGAGTGCCAGACTCCCATCCCCATTCCAATCCACTGAGAAATTGCCTGTCCTCTACATCAGCATAAAATTGCAGGTTGATTCTGTGGAAACAGTCGAGGCTGGGCAGAGGGAGGTCTCTGTACTCGAGACTGCAGGGCTGTGCTCCCTACCAAAAATAAAGAAATTGTCTCTGTGTATATCAAATGCAAATGCTAAACGCCCCCAACCTCAACTCTTCTGCTCCACTCAGTTCCCAAAACACTACCAGCATTTCTATGTAAAAGACTAAAAAACTCCTCTCTAGTGACTAGCACAAGAAAACTGTCTAAATTTCTAGCATCTCCCAAGAGCAGCCCCCACTGATCACACCACAGTCAACTTCAGAACCAATAGGTCCAGGTGTTCAGACCTTCCAGTCACCTTTTTAATATCCCACTTTAATACCAGCAAGGGTGACCAGAGATTTCTGGAAAGCCTCTACATGAAAGAGAACAAGATATATTCACTGAAGAAAAACAAAACAAGATTTAAAAAATTGGAAGAAACAAATTATTTTAGGGGAAAAAATTAAAACTCTATCATTAATTACAGAAATATAAATCTAATATATAATGACAGAAAGCAAATCAGCAGTTGCCTGAGACCAGGGCATAGTTGAGAAATTTACTGGAACAAAGAAAGCAGAGGGGAACTTTTGGGAGATGATGAAAATGTTCTGTATTTGATTATGGTGGTGGTTACACAAGGGTATACATTCGTGAAAACTCATTTAATAGGACCTTAGAATGGGTGCATTTTACTGTAGGTGAATTTCATACTTAAATGAAGTTGACTTTTTCAATTCCTGTTATTAATAACCAACATCCTAAAAAAATAAGAGAAGTTATTGTATCCATGCAACAAGAATAAGATACTATATGATTGGGGGGGGGTTCAGAAAATAAAGAATGCTTTGAAATTAAACAGTCAAAATGAAAAAGATAAAGTTGATGAAATCTCCCAGAAAGTAGTGTAAGAAATAATGAATTAGAAAATAGAAGGGAAGAAATTAAGACACTTAAAGGACATTTCTAGAAATTCTAATATCCAAGTAACATGAATTCCAGAAAAAGAATATAAAAAATGGAAAGAAAAAAATCATCATAAAATAATCTACAAAGCATCCTAATCCTGAAAGACATAAATTGACAATTTCAAAGGATCTGTCAAGTGCCCAACACAAAATCTGAAAAATTTGAGTAAAAATTGACCTACAATAAAGACCATTGTTGTGAAAGTTCAGAATGGTGGAGAGAAAGAAAGAAGATTCCATAAGTTTCTAGAGAGCAAAAAAAAATTGTCAAAAACAAAGGATCTGGGATAAAAATTACTTTGAGTTTCTCAACAACACTGGAAGCAAGAAGGCAATGGAACACTGCATTCAAAATTTTATAGGAACCTTATTTCCAACCTAGATTCTATCCCCAGCCCAGCATGATGGTATACTATAGACATTTTCAAACATTCAAGAGCTGATTAAAATGCTTAAACATTCCCATCTAGGATATTGGCCACTCAATAAGATAGAAATCAAGCAAAAGGAACACACAGGACACAGAAAACAAGATATCCAATACAGGACCTGGTAGAAAAATAATTCCCAGGAGAATGAAGAAGGGAGATCCCAGAATTGAATTCTAGAGTGTATCAGATATAGAGAGCCAGACGGGGTCCCTGTGAAAGGAGCGTGAATGTCACCATCACAAGGTACCTCTGTACTCTCTTAACCTGAGGACAGGACGCCTAGTGAGCCTGGCCAAGATTCCTACCCATACTGGGCTTCCTTTGACCACGTGCTTATGATGTTTCTGTTCTTTCCTCCGCCCTTCCTGCCCTATCTGCTGGACGCTCACATCACTGCAAAGAAATCCAATCTCAGCTGCGGGGAGCATGGCTCACGCCTGTAATCCTAGCACTCTGGGAGGCCGAGGCGGGCGGATTGCTCAAGGTCAGGAGTTCCAAACCAGCCTGAGCAAAAGCGAGACCCCGTCTGTACTATAAATAGAAAGAAATTAATCGGCCAACTAATATATAAAATTAGCCAGGCATGGTGGCACATGCCTGTAGTCCCAGCTACTCGGGAGGCTGAGGCTTGAGCCCAGGAGTTTGAGGTTGCTGCGAGTTAGGCTGACACCATGGCACTCACTCTAGCCTGGCAACAAAAGCGAGACGAAAGAAAGAGAGAAAGACGTTATACCAGTTCCTTTGCCTGAAGTCTTCAACACCAAGCAGTACCAGGCTCTCTAGAATTATATGGATATGGATCCTGCTGAGGGAAGGAAATGGTTCAGAGCAATTTGGGTTCTCCCTCAGGCCAATTTAGGAAATTACTCTGTTTTTCCCAGTGGTGTGGTTATTGAAAGAAAATGAAGGAAGCATGGGGAAGAATACTCAAGAGACAGTAAGCTCTGATCATGTTTTTGCTCCCTAAAGAGAAACATGAAAGAATTTTTTAAAATAAATAAAAAGGCTAATTCTTGAAAGTCTACATAAAATTTCCTATTTATAGACAGCTTACAGATGGTACGGCATGGGGTTGGGGGAAAATACGAGGTGCTTAGTAATGGATCTGGTTCCTATCAAAAAAGTGTGGTTTGAAATATTGTAATATTAACTTTAATGCCCTTTTGGCAAATCTTTTCGCACTGCCTTCTCTAAACCTTAGAACTCGCCATAGAGTGGACAGTTTCTGAATGTGCTTGTTACATTAGAGTTTAACCTCCAGATTTCCAAGGTCTCGGATGGCCAGAAGCACAATGAAGCCATTGCCAAAGCAAAGATATAGTAACCCTAGAAGCGCCTCATTCTTTTAAATCCTTTGCCATCAGATTGAGGGGACATTGGGACACGAGTCTCCTCTGTCTTCGCTGAATAGAAACAATTCTCTCTGCCTATGCCTTATGGAATGTATTATTCAATATAAAATCTATACATTCCGGCGAGTAACATTGCTCTGGATACAATAAAGTGTATAAGAAGATGCCATTTAAACGCATAACTAAGCTTCACTTACCTTATCATATTGATACTAAACAACTTTAATTATAGATTCTGTATCTCGGATTAAGGGCACTGACCAAACACATTCAGTACGCAACAAATATATAAACCAAATAAAAATACTGGACTCCTCCAGTTAAAATATGAATATATTCAGATAAACATTGATTAAGAACTTTATTAGCATACATAAATGTCCCAACACTCAATTCAAGCGGCATGGGCTACTCCTCTAAGCAGACCGATTCCATCTTTCGTTTCTCTACCCCTCTCTCAACTCAATCCCCTCTTAGATACATGGAGATATAAACACTGTATTACTATATCTGGCAAATCTAGCCCCAAATACGTCAGCCCTGCACAATCATGGTCTTCACTTTGGTCCTTTAATGAATATTCTCAAACCGTGCCCTTTCTGAGAGACCATTGTGCCCAGCAGAGTGCAGATGTTAGTAGGAATATATAGGCATAGCCTTTACATTCAGATTTGCTCACCAGCATCTTTGTCGGCATGGTAAACAACTTCCAGCTAAGTAACACCAGACCATGCCTGCATGCAAGCAGAGTCCAAATCCACCCCTTCTGCTGCCTTTCAGAATACCTCCATCTATGATTTAATTCAATGAACTAATGAAGGTATATCTGGAATTAATTGCTATATAATAATATAAATTCTATAGTACTAGTGCATATTTTATCTAAAGGCAATAAACTCAGAGGATATTATTCTAGATGCTCAAATCTTGGTTTAGGCTTCTTACGCATAATTCCATAATCTTAATAATATTGTTTTAAATCATATGGATAGGCATTGTTCAATCATAATCCATATCTTTAATATATTTGTTTTAAAATTCTCCCTTTGATCGTAATAGTGGTTTAACCAGCATAATGATATATAAAATTGCCAAAATTGTACCTAGTGAATGGCTCTATGATATGAAAGTAGCATAGTGGTATGCAATCATTTTAATGAAATTTTCTACTGACCAAATAGCAATTTAAAAGACAGGGGAATTACTTATTCCCATAAATATTTACATGTTTGATAATTACTGCCCATTTTCTATTGCATATGATATCGTATAAAATGTCTTATAGAGGGAGTTTGGGATCAAAGAAGCAGATTGAGTTCATATATCTGTTTTTCCTCTCTCATAAACAATCTTTAGTAATAAAGTTATAGGGATTTTTAAAATAGACATAAACCCACAAGGAATGAGGAAAACCAGGAAAGAGAGTAATAATAAATATTGGGAAGCTGGAAAACAGAAGGCAAGTGGTAGGGCACTCCCAACCAGAAAACTGATAGTAAGAACAACTAAAAACCTCCTAATTTATAATCAGAGATTCTCAAAGTCCTGTGATTGGTTAATTTTATGCATTACTAGATCTGATTAAGGGATGCCCAGATAACTGGTAAAACATTATTCTGGTGTGTCTGACAGATTGTTCTGGAAGAGATTAGCATTTGAATCAGCGGAACTCAGTAAAAGTAAAAAATCCACTTGCATCAATGTGGGTGGGCAATCACAGTCCATTGAGGGTCCAGAATACAGAACAAAAAGTGGAGGAAAGGCAATTTGCCTCTGTCTTCTGAAGCTGGATATTCATCTTCTTCTGCCCCTTGGGTATTGAACTTCAGATTCCGTGGCTTGCACTGTGGACTGTGCATGCACATGACCTGTGGGCCACTTGCTGAGTGACACAGATAAAGTAGGACAGTGGTCAAGAGGACACAGTTCTCTTTAGTCCTTAATTTGAATAAAATAAAAATAAAGTCTCAGAGGCACAGTGAGCACTAAGCAGCAAAGGACATCTCGGAAACAGTTTACGTCGTCAGGGATTTCTTCCTATTTAAGACAGCGTAGAGGGAGAGCAGCCTGCTCTTAGACCAGGGTGGATCTGGTGCTTGAAAGGCAAAACTCCGCCAATAGCTGAGCCCCAAGTGTGTTTGTTTAGTCCACCTAGTATAGTCCCACAGTCTCCATCAAGCTGTTTTCTGGCTAATTCTGTACAGTTTTCATAGACGTAATTCCTCCAATCCATCCTTCTGGGAGCACTGGCTGCCTGCTATATTATCCTCTCCAGATGGGGTCATGCAACAAACTTCCCTTTATTGCTCAGCACCAATTGAGCTGATGGGTTCACCTCCACCTCAGATGTTTATCCTACCAAGAAAAACAAATCCCTAGGTAACTTTTTATTATATAGTGTCAATTACTATATAGTATTATCTCTCGTAACTGCAATGGGTAACCATCCCAAAGCTGGAGATCTTTAGCTCAAGATAAAACAGAGAAGGCCATATTCTTCCATTGAAATATCTAGTGACAAGATTTAGAAAATATTGAGAAAGAATCTGCTATATTTATTTTTAAATGTAGATATATATGTATGTGCATAAAATATTTAATCTTATGTGCAGAACATTTTAACTTAAAAGTTTAGCAATAGATTAACAAAATGATTATTCCTTTATTTTCCTTCTCTCCTTTA